ACAGGACCTGGAACTTCCCCTTGGCCCTGCACACACACACGGCCTGGGCAGGCTCTGAGGAGCAGCAGCAGGGGCAGCTGGGCCTTACTCCCTTCTAATCCTGCTCCCACCACCTCTGCTCTTGCTGAAGGAGGCTCACCACCACCACAGCAATCCTAATGCCAGGGCATGCAGTGCTTCAGGACCTTGCAATAAACTCTCTGACCAAGGTGGTTGTGCTCCTCCTCACGCTGCTGTGCCACTCCCTGCTTTGCTTTCCTCACTGAGGAGCACCAGTGAGAGCCCAGTACACTCTGTCAGGGAGCCTTGGGGCCTGTGGTCTGTGCCCACTTTGCAGGGGTCCCTGCAGCCTGGAAATGAGTGACCTGCCTGAGCAGCACCAGCACAGTCATTCTGAGTCCTCCAGCACTGCTCTAAGCTGTGTCTACTCCCAAGGACCTGAGCTGGGCAGCAGCACCAGCTGCCTCCTTCCCATCTCCTTGTCCTGAGTCTTCCAAGCAACGAGGCCCCACATTTGGAATTGGGTGGTTTATTAGTGTAACGAGAAGGGGGGTGCAGCAGGGGTTCCCAGAGCGTCCCTCTCCGCCTTGCTGCACCCCACCAGGGCACAGGTGCCCTGATGTGCCGGTGGTACTGGGGAAGCTGCTTCCTACCTACAGTATACGGGTCCAGCCCGGGATCTGCCCTCGGTCCAGGGAGAAGAGCTAGAGCGAGCCAGGGTCCAGGCTGGGCTCTGGGGGTGGGGAGCTGGGGTAGGCAGCAGCGGTGGGCACTGGGCGATATTTCTCAATCACCTCCCGCAGCCCCTTGGAGAAGTGGAGATCAGCTCCCACTGTGAGGAATCCCTGCAGAGGGAGGTGGGTCAGCATGAGGCTGGGGGTGACAGCACCCTGCCCAGCAGGATGTGGGGGCCCAGGCTGTCCCATCCTCCCACGTACCGCATGGTTGGTGACCACCTCCTTGGTGAAGTCCATGCCTTCTGGCAGGGGGATCTGCACCCCTTTCTTTGTCCTCTCTGCAGGGAAGGAGCAAGAAGGTGACGCCAAGCTCTGCTGTGCCTCTGCCCATGCCTGGCTGCATGGGAGCAGTGATGCCTACCATTAATGATGGGCATGATGGTCAGCTGCAGCAGGGTCTTCAGCGGGGCCTGCAGTGAGAACAGCTGTGGGAGAGGAGCTGGGGTCAGCATGGTGGCAGAGCTGCCAGCTAGGGCAGGGGGGGCTGGAAGGGGGTCCTGGCAGGGCAGGCCTTCCCCAGCCCACCCTACACAATGGCTGGATGTGTAAGGGTCCCCAGGCCATCACCATGTGCTCACCGCCAGAGACTCCAGCGCCGACTGCTTGGAATAGATACGGAACCTGGAGAGAAGGAAGCAGCTGTGAGTAGGGCACAGAGGGGACCCTTCCCATGCCCCCATGGGACTCCCAGCCATACCGTCGCAGGTCCAGCTGCACGCGCAGTGCCTTCCCTTGCAGATACACCTTGGCACTCAGCTTAGTTTCCTGAGGAGAGAGAGAGCTGACTCACAGCAGGCAGAGGGACAACCAGGCTGGCTGCTCCACTATCGCCATGGGCTCAGTGTCCCTCTGCTCTGGGACACCAGCACCTTTCCATGCAGTCTTGGGGACATTGCTCCCATGTGCACCAGTGTGGCTACCCATGGAGCCCTAGCCCCACACACCCCTCCCAGCCCCCACTCACCATGGCCATGCTGGAGAGTTGGACAGGTGGGCGGTCTGGGGGCACCAGTGAGATGTTGAGGAAGGCAGTGACGGAGACAGAGGTGCCTGAGGGTTTGATGACGCAGCGGGGGGGAGCCGAGACTTGCAGCACCAGCCGCAGGGGAGCATCCACGGAGGGGCTCTGGGGAGGGCAGGTGAGCTGGAGGCAGGGAGCAGGGCAGGGCTATGCCCTGCCCTGGGACACCCCATGCCTCCCACCCCATCCGGGGGCTCCTCACCAGCATGAAGATGGTCCCGAAGAAAGTGGCTCTCAGCAAAACCTCCAGGTCCTTGGGCACCTGTGGAAAGCACAGACCACGGGAGGGGAAGTGAGCTATTGCTGTGTGTCCCAGCAGACCTGCTCCCTGGATGGCACCTCTTCTGCTCTGTGGCAGAGCCCAGCCCTCCCTCCTGCCTGCACACAGCTGGGTGTCCCATCCTCCTTACCTTCTCCCCCTCGAGTTCTATGGACAGCACTCCTGCCTCGAAGTACGAGTGCATGGCCGAGTCGAAGAAGTACTCAGAGAACGCAACATAGACCATGCGCTCAGTCTCCTTGATCACCGGCTCCACCGCGTGGTTCTCCAGCTCCAGGTTCTCTCTCACCCGGGGGAAGAACATGCCCTGGGCAGAGAGCACGAGAGGTTCCCGCAGCTGCAGGGCAGCTCACCCCGCCCGTTCTATAGAGCTCAGCGTGCCTGCTGGCACAGCCACTCCCACGGGGATGAAGAAGGTCAGCAGGGCAGGATCCAGTGTTCACCCTGAAGTCGAGGTCGAGGGTGTCAGTGGACACAGACGGATCCCGCAGGAGGGAGTAATCAATCCCGATGTGCTCATCCACGTAGTTCCTCACTGCCAGAGAAGATGTGCTGGTGTGACCAAGCCTGGGGCCACCCAGCAGCCTGATGCCCAGCCCTGCCTGTCCCACAGTGAGTGGGATCCAGTCCCTTTCCCAGGGCAACACCCACCAGGCACTGTGTCCAGCAAGGAATTCAGCAGCACCAGGCTGGCGTGCTCCAGGGACGGGCAGATCTGCAAGGCAAGGAGCCAGGCTGAGGGGAATCAATCCCAAAACTGGATGAGGAGCTGCAGAGGCAGGGTGAGGCCCAGCCCCTCAGGCTGCATCACCTGTCTGCACTCAACCATACCTGCTGGCTGAGGAGGAAGCGCATCCCTGTGACAATGAAGGTGCTCAGAAACTCGTAGACCTTCCTGCAGGACACAAGAGCAGCTCTGCACTGCCTGCCCACCCTGTGGCTCCATCTCCATTCCAGCACACAGCTGGGCTGGGGAAGCACAGAGGGTGCAGGAGGGTGTCAGGTGTACCTGAGTGTGCCAGAGAAGCCTGCGTGCATTCTGGCAATGGAGGCATTGCAGGTGATGTTGGAGATCTTGGGGCGCCCAGCCTCATCCTTGGACAGCTGCAGCACTGTGTGGATCTGGACACCATCCGCAGAGGCATTGATGGACCCAATGTCATAGCTGGAAGCCAGGAAAGCAGATGAGAGGAGCACACAGCTCCTGCCTGCTGCAGGGCAGCCAGCAGGTGTGACTGTGGGGGGGGCTGGTGCCTGGGGCAGCAGGAGGGGAGGCAGCTCACAAGAACCAGTAGAGCAGCTGCCTGCGGAAGCGCAGGCTGATGGAAGCGTTGTTGATGTTGAAGGCAAGGTGCTGCTGGGGCTGGAAGTTCAGGTCAGAATATGCCAGCTGCAGGTCTGTCACCTTGACCCTGCAGGGAGGGGACAGGGATGGTTGGATGGACAGGTGGACCTGGGGAGCAGTGGGCAGTGGGCAGCACTCACTGGGTGATGTTGTAGTGGAACTGCCCCTCCTTCCCGTGCAGGTCTGACACTGTGATGTTCTGCAGCTCCTGCTCCACGAAGCGCAGCCCCTCCTGCTTCACTGCAGGGCAAAGCGAGCCTGGGCTGGGGCAGGAG